ATACAAAGATTATGTAGGTGAGCGACACCGTTCTCTCCTACTCGAAACCAAAAGGTCGTCCGTTAAAAATGTAATGAACGAGAGTTTGCTTTAGTTTTGTATGGATTACCGTTCTTAGAAAGCCTGGAAAATTGAGCTTGGGCGACCCTACAACACGAAAGTTTCACAAACGTACAGAGACACTTTCCAACATCAGAAGAGCTCCGAGCCATCGGAGGATGAGGGAGAAAATCGTCCTCGTGACCTTTCGTCCGGTAATAATATTCATCATGAGGTGTAAAAACCCGTCCCGACAAAACCCCGGCTGAAAGCCATCTTCCTGCGGCCGACAATCGGAAAAATTGTCGGGTTTCACTGGCGATAGTTAATTTTCAATTTGGCGAATTTCAGTTGGGTTGCAGAACGAAAGCGAAAGTTGTCTCATTTCGCAGCCTACTCGCGATTTCGTGAGATTGGCGAAAAAGGAGAGATAAAAAAAAAGACCAGCATACTTCCATTTATCTCACTAGTAAATTGCAATTATTGGATGTGACACAAGTGAGGGGAATAAATTAAAAAATGGCCCGGCCACCAGCTCCAGCATGGCATGATGCGCCCGGGTGTTGGAGTTCACAAATTGAGTCGTAAATTTCGCCTCCCTGGCATTAAGTCCGACTCACAAATCACGACGGAGAATAAGCCGGGAGAGTCGTTTTAGCAGCACCTGAGAAACAATTAATCCCGAAGGTAAAAATAGAAGAAAACGGCTAAGTGGGGTGGAGAATGGAATTTCCGATGTGTCAATAATAAAGGAATTCACGTTATCCTTTATTTAATATTGGTTTCTACAAAGGTTAAAACCTAGACATAATAAGACAGTTAAATTACGACCTGATCTGTTTTACTTAAACAAATAAAACACGGGCTCTTATCAACTGGAAGGATTTCCATTCGAACTTCCATAAAAACGATTTTATTCAACAAAAATATCGTACTCGTCATATATTATTATATTCTCGTAAAAGCTGCCTTCCTCATTTTTGTATTGGAATACTAACAACATTGGAATTTACCATAAGAATTTCTAAAATTCCTTGCCGATTTGGTGTCTATAACACGCGTCCATCCAAATTGTTAAGCAAATTGCCGCGGAAAATTCTGTTTCCTTCTAACCTCGAATATGTTTATTTTTTGTATTAGAAAATGTACGTTAATCACTTCGATCTTTCCAGATCGCAGTTGTCATCATGAACTCAGGAAAGGCTTATAACCCAAAACAGCGAAGATAGAAAGATTAAAATAATCGGAAACAACTAAACTCCATTTAAATTTCAGCTCCAATTTGAGTTGATAAAATAAAATGAAACACGAGTAAACAAGGACGGACTTTTCCTTTCTGTTTTAACCATTTTGCCAGTGAAAGAATATCCCCGCTTCCCAGCTCAATCCTTCCAATTTCATTTCTTTTAAAATATTTTAACAATTTTCTTTTAGAAAAAATCCAAACTCTATTCCCCAAAGATAAAGGCGAAACTGTTTGAAATGTCATTGGATTCCGATATTGGCTCTCTGCTGATCGTCTTAAATTCTTTAAGTTCTTTTTAAGACTGTAGTTTCGACTGTTCCATTTGTTCCTCCTCAAGAGTGTTTGTCTCTTCTCGTTACTGTAGGTTTTTTTATGCTCCTGCCTCATTATGAGCTTCTCGAACCTTGTAACCGGTGACTAACCTAGATCTCTTCTAAGGTGTGGATCTCTCTGCGACTATGGCTTCGGCTCACCATTTTCTTTTATGGATGTCTTCCTGAGGGATATACTCCACATCAAGAACGAACTTAAGTCTTGAAGGATCATCTAAGATGGTAGACCAAGTAAATGCTCCTGTGTGAATTCTATGGTAATTGCTGATCTGGCACAAATATCTCGTCTCACCTAAAAGCTCTCCTCTGAATCTGAGATCGTTTTGAGATTGTCAAATTGGCCAAACTGGTCGGTCATATAACAGTGCTCTGAAGTAGGCTCCTTCGGACCTAAACACAAATATTCCGACATCAATTCGACTTATTTGTGAATAAAAAAACCTAGGCATTGTGGAAGTGGGTCAGACTCGTAACTTGACATCCTTCGTTCCTCCGTTTTCCGTTGTGGATCAATCTGGACTATGTACATTTCTTCGACTTTATTTACTTAGCTTATTTATTATTATTATTATCCAAAATCAACATTTTATGCGATTTTTCACTTACGACTTGCTTCTATAGCACTTAAGATTTATAAAGTTTATCAACCCAAGTTCCACATTACAGGGAGAGAAATAATCTGAAGAAAGCTATTCAATAGGTCTATTCTTTTCAGTCGTCTACGAGATAATGTTGAAAATGTCACCTTTGTGGTTGGTAATAGGTTTTAATGGTTGAAAAACTGTTCATATGCCAGGGCAGAAATAATTACTCGTAAAATATTGATAGAAAACTTTGTAATCTTTGAATATTGGAATTATTTAGCTGATCCGAAAACTTGGCACACGTACATACAAATACGTTTGATTTGTGTTTGTCGAAAGTTTTGAATTTAAAGTATTTTCGATTGTCGGTTCAGTAAGTAGTACAGTATAAATCGTTTGCTAAATGCCTGTTTTTTTAATCGTGTGTGTAAAATCCAAGTTCTTCTGTCAAATGTAAGTCTTCAATAAGTTTTGTCAGATTGGGACCATATTAGTTGAATAAGTATATGCTAGTACTGACTGACTACAGAGTGTAAAGGAGACTTTGGGGAGTTAAGCTTCATTTTTTAAAGTTTGCTTGATTACTGTTGTAAAGTAACAATTGTGTAGAACAGCGGAGTGAGTATTCACCCCTGAGGCACACCTGCAAACACGTCTTTCATCTCAAAAGTCTCTCCTTGAGATATGGTTATATGTATGATCAGGTCTAGGGTAAAAATAAATTTAATTTGTACAATAGTCTTGCAAGACATACTTGGTCGAAAGCCTGAGAGACACCTAAAACACTTCAGTTGCGAACAATTTCTCAGATGAAGAGAGATGGAGTTCTGTAAAATTTCTTTTTTAGGTTCTGTGAAGTAGATGAGTAGTGGAATAATGGGATCGAAAGCCAATTAATGATCTGATAAGAAGATTTTCCAAATAGCAGTAGAGGTAATTCGTTCATCAATTAATTTTTCGAATAATTTTGAAGGAGCGAGTAAGAAACTAATAGGTCGGTAAGTTAATGGGGCGCTTAAATTTTTATGTGGTTTTGGAAACATTTCAATATAAGATAGATTCCATTATATGAGAAAATGTGTAGTTCTCAATATTGAATTAAACAAAGAGGTCAGAAATATACAGAAACAATTTTATTAAACGATTTTTCATCTGCAATATCAAACATAACATGCATATTAAAAAGAAAGTCTGGTGGTCCCTTTGGGTATCCAGGACTACAGATAAACTTACAAATTAAAGCTTAGAAGAACTTAAATGTGAATGAGTTTTCCTAATAAAAACTTCTACGTTTTAACAATGAGTTAAATGAAATTCTTTAAAGGTATATTTAATATTTTCATTGTACGATAAATTAGGAAAATGTTTCTCGTTTTCTCATTTTAGCCGTTGAAAAACATCAAATATACCATTTCACGGTAATATTTTATATTATAAATTAAAATTAAATTCAAATTTTATTAAATTAAAATTGCTCGTTATTAGCGAATCTGCCTTTCTCTACTTACTTTTTCTTATAACTACGGAACTTTCGATTAGCGGATGCAACAAGCCGGTAGTTAAGTCTAACGACACTACTTTTTTCTCACTTTTAAACTTTCCCCGTTGTGTGAAATACGATGAAAGTGTCTGGCTTTGTTTTGATGGTTCACCGTCTGATCATTCTTCTAAGTTTATCGCTCCACAGTGAAATTGCAAAACCTCGATAGAGATTCAACCCGTATAACGACAAGTATAGAAATGCGGAAAAACCGATAAAAATTTCAAAGCATCACAATTGATAGTCTAAGTTTTGGATGAACAGAACTTCATTATCACCGTAATTCATTACTTAAAAAATACACGTTTACCAACCAATTTGCTTATGATAAATCGGAAAGTGAGAACAACGTGGGACCACCAACGCCCGTCTGGCAGTAATTAAGAGGTATACACCATCGGTAATCATCGCCTTGAATACTAATCGGTACAAGCTATTAGGAGGATTTTTTGGTACTGTTGACATGAAATTTCGACTAGTTTCTTTTTCAATAGTGGTTCAATACAACGTTAGTCCAACAAGACTATCCCGATTGTTTCAAAACTTATCAAGCTAGATGACGGTTTGTAATTATGAAAGTTTCAGCAGAAACTCTGGCTTTTAGCCCATTTCTCAGTATTAGACAGTTCGCTTGATGGCCTATTTGCAAGCAAATATGCATTCAACCGGTTAGTAAACTCTAAGAAATTTGGTACGAGATTGTTTCGTATTCTTCTTTAATTCTAAATTCCTAAAAGGAAGACTAAATTGGCGAATAAGTGATTATTAGTTCATTATGCTTCATTATTATGAATTCGTACCCACTCCTTATTACCACGAAAAGCAAATCTCACAGACTGCTGCAGCAGAGTGATATGGGGAACGGGATTTTGGAAGTCAAATCGATCCACGCCGGCGTCCAGAAGAAGTATTTCTTGGTCCCATCCTATATAAAATTTACAATGCTGATCTGCCGATACATTCCACCACCATAATTAGAAACTATGCGGTCGACACTGTTATTTTATCTGTACATTGTAGGAAATCCAATGTTACCTAAGAAGGTACCTCCAATCTAGGAGAATCTTGAGCTCATTGAAGATGAAGGTGCGAATCATGAGCTGAACGAGAAAAATGCACCCAAATTACGTTCACACTAAACAGTCTTACCTACGTCTAGACGTTAACAACAAAAAGAAGGGCCACTGAAAAACGGAAAAAAGGAGGGAAAATTTAAAAGGTGGGGTTGAGATGGGAAGTTGGTGTCTGAGTGGATCGACGTCACGATAGCTCAAGTGGTAGAGCAGCGGCGTATGAAGCCGAAGATCGTGGGTTCGAATCCCGCTCGTGCCATTGACTTTTTATCTCAACTAAAAACCTTAATTAAACTTTAACAACAAAGAACAAACGACATCTAGACGAGGCAAATAGGGCTATATTAGACGGACGTGGGATTCTCTCTCACATATGACTTAAGCAACAAGAACTTAACAGACGAGATGGCCAACTACGAGGACTTATTGTAAAGCAAACGATATGATTGTAAAGAACAAATTAACTCTGTACAAAACATTACTTCGACCTATTTGGACGGAGAGGAACTGATGGGCACCACCAAGCCATCTAACATCTAGCGAATCCACCCTTTCCAATCGAAAATCCTCAGGATTCTTCTCCAAATTCCTTACTATGACTCCAAACTCACTATCCACAATGACTTTAACATTCCCTTCGTCAAAGATTTCATCCGTTTTCGCTTCCTCGAGTTTCACTCCGATATTGCAACCCATCCTAACGCTACTGCCGAAGCCCTCTTTAATTCTTCCCATCCTAAGAACCCACTACGTCGGATGAAACGACGATGGCTCCGAGACCACCTCGCCTTAATCCGATAACAAATTGCCAGCATTGGAGACAAGGCTAGTGTTTTGCTTATGATTTATACTATAAGAACCATCAGGTGTATAATTCATATATAAATAAATATTATTATTTAAAAAAATCTTATTTCACACATGAAATATAGCTGCACAGACGCTAAAAAACTATTAAAAAATTGTATAGATAAACATGATGATAATAAACCAATTTTAATCCATAGAGCAATAGTCACAGACAGTTTGCCGGATTTTACCGAGATAAATTTTGCCAACAGTCGGCATAACAGTAAACCCGTCAAATAGGTTATTTGCAACAATCCCGTTTAAATTGGTATAAACCGTGTGAATCAAATTCGTCACGTAGTAAATGTCCTTTACACGGCAGAGTGACTAGAAGCGCCAAATCGGACACGGATTACTTCGATGTAAGCCATCTCCGTTGAATCACAATTTCCGAAGAAATGGGTCTTTATTTCTTTACCTTCGTTTTGAACTTTAGATTCTTCATCAGTGTAAAGTGAATTGTGATACGTGACGGGACAAAAAATTGATTGTAAGATCTACTGTTTGGAGTCGGCCTGTTCACGCCGTTTTGGTACGTCGTACGCGTTCCGACATCGCACCATCTTTGTGAGCATTCTCCTAAACAGGAATTACTGAGAACCACTTCTGATAAAAGCGGTGTGCCGAAACTTGCCTGAAAAATGAAAATCGTGAGGTTGGATGACCATGAATAGACGATATAATTTTAGATACGAAAACCTAAATAAAACGTAAAAATTACCTATTCCATACAGATTTGATTTCTTTTTTAATAATACTTTACATAGATAGGCTTAAATTGTATGTTGCACTAATATTTTTGAGAATTTTCTTTGAGTCTGCGGTACGATGAATGTAAATTTTGATCGTATATTCTGGTCTGTAGCCTCTTGATGTTTGGCTCAGTCAGATGCCTTTCACATAGATGTTCGTGATTCTTGTTTAGTGGTTTGTGACACACATATCACCACTGAATATGACATGCATGGGAAACTAACAAAACCAGGATGACCAGAACTTGTCGATATTGATAAAATTTTGATTATGGAATAGTAAAAAATCGTCGGACTTAACTATCCCAGGCTTTATTATTTAAAATATTACTTGAGAATGATCCGGTGTTGCTTGAACTTGAATTTTGGTCGTTTCAGACCGTTCTGACCTGTCTGTTTTTGTTTTTTGGTTTGTCATACCATTTGCATTCGGGTTTTCGTCATCTTCAATGGTTTTCTAGGTAACTCTATTGATTTAACAAGAATGACCCAGCATTATCATGAAAGGTCAAAACAGTAAGGAAATCCATAACTTTTTGATGTCAATACGATTTTGATGCAAAATGGTAAAAAAACCGTCGACCCTTAACCGCCTCACTAAAAAAACGTCATTTTTTGGCATTGTTAGCCAATAGCTTTAACCGACAGTTAACCTAATTTGGAGATTTTTCTTGAGGCCTGCTGGTGGTCGACCATGAATTTTGGTCCTTTCATACCTTTCTGATCTGTGTGTCGTCACTCGTTTGATCTGTCAGTCGTGTTCGGCTTCTCGCCATCTTCATTCGTAGCAACGAATGAATCTGATCGTCAATCTGAAAAGCATTTGCGATACGTTTCACCAAATAAGAACCGCACAGACCCGTCATTAATGATGGCGACCAGCCGGAGCTCGCCTGATAGATCAAAGCAGTGAGGATGACCAGAACATCTCGATGTCGAAAGCGTTAAAGACAAAACAAAGCTGTTAAACTTAACTACTCAAGAAAATTCTGCGAAGTAGAAGAATTTCTTTTAAAATTGTGCTATATTTCTCCTAACAGTTTTCTTTATTTTGACATTTTTTCTTGAGGTCTGCATGCTATCGTTTCCGACTTTTCTGGCCTGGCTGTCTTCCCTGTTTTGTTCTTTCATAAGCGTTTAGCACTTTTTCGTTCTTTGTTCCGGTAGGGGGATAGGGACAGGGATAAAAGAGGCGGCCATAAGGCCTACTGCATCTCGACATGAATAGAACTATTGTGTTCCTCTGTTATTTATAACTCATTGGCCAGCTTCCTGGTTCCTTGGTGTAGGATCTTACTTGTGGATTTTCTTGTCCTAGTTGCAAGAACCTGCACCTACATAGACCTTCACAGAAACATAAAATGTGTGTTTCGGTCTTCTCCTCTTCCTTGCAGTATTTGCACAGTGTGTGTTCTGTCTCTACTCCTATCCGGTGCTTTCTTAAGTTGCAGTGCCCTGTAGGAGTCCAACCAGAATCCTGGTTCGGTTCCGGTTGCCTTCTAGTAATTCTTTTGTGAGTTTTGTGGATGGTCCTTCAATGAATCTCTTCGGGTGCCTCATACCTGAGGTATTGTTCCACCAGGTTTTGGACTGATTAAGAATCAATTTTAAGATGCGTCCTCTTTTGTAACTGGCTGCTAGGGCGCAGTAGGGTTCTGGGCCCATAGAATCCATGTTGGCTCCCTTTTTGGCAAGCATGTCTACCTTTCGTTGCCTCTATGCCCCGAATGTCCAGGAACCCGTGCCATGGTCAGGTCATTAGTGTCCCATGACAGGGCCTCCATGCATTTCCAAACACTCTTTGCTTTCGCCTCGCATAAGGCTAAGGCCCTGAGAGCTGCCTGGTGTCAGAGAAAATGGCTATCTTCCAGGAATGTATTCCTAGCCTTTTATTTCTCCAGCACATTGTTTAATCGCTATGATTTCAGATTGGAAAACTGTAGCATACGTGCCTAGGTTTACCGCCAGTTCGGTCTTAGGATTTATCCCAAAGACCCAGCTCCCGTACTCTTGTCGGTTTTGGAGCCATCAGTATACCAGTAGGAATTTTCCTTTAGTGGTGTTCCTTTGGCCCATTCTTTCCGTTCTGGCATCACTACTTTGTACTTCTCGGTAAAGTTGTACTTTGGAGTAGTGGCGTCAATTGGCATACCTTGAATGACATCTGCCTGTATCTCCTCTCTCAATGTCCATTGTTTATTTACATGGCCTATCCTAGCAGATTGTTGTCCATTTACGAGCCTGTAGGCTGCTGCTCTAGCTTCTCCTGGGATTAAAACGTGTAGTGGTGGAAGGTTTAACAAAACTTCCAGGGTTGCAGTTGACGTTGTGCTCATGGCACCAGAGACACTGAGACAAGCTTGTCTTTAGGTGCCAGTTAATAGCCTTATTGTTTTGGCCTGAAGAGTTTGGGTCCACCCCACCACCGACCCATGTGTAAGTTATTTGATTGTTTTATTATTAATTTGTGTAATTTATCGAATGGATCCAACTACCTAGATTTATTGATTTGTGTGTTCGTCAGTTTTTTTATTACTGGATTTGTATATTTGAAGGATTTCATACCGTCCTTTTTGTACAACTTGGTGTAATTGATTTGTCGGGGGTTTTAATTGATGACATTTACTTAATTGATATAGAAAAAATATTTCGTTCGTATAAAATCAGAACACTTTTAATTATACAGATGGTAAATGAGATTATCCTTGGTTATGTCGTCCCTAATAAAGGATTATTGATAGGATAAATTAGGTCCTAATATTATCTCCTCAAAGTGATCACTCATCTTTGATTAAGCATCTCTTAATCGGAATCGTCATTTAATGCAAATTTGCACATTGCCACATTATAATAAGCAAGCCGTAGATCACAGATTCCTGTGGCGTTCATGCATCACGGTAGTTAACCGCAGGCAGTAAACGTCGAGTGCGTGTATTGCGGCTCCGCATAGTTCTGCAGTGCACCGTCCACGGTTATGAGCCGTATTAATCAGGGAAAAGGACAGTAATCGTGTTGCAGGGCCGGTGACAAGCGGCAAATTGACTCGGTTAAATTTGCGCCCTTTTGAACGGAGGGAGAAAGTCGCCGGCTAAGTCCCTAGCGAATTAGAAAAGCCCCCCGGGCTAAGCTTCTCCATAAATTAACTTTTTTTTTCTTTGCGCCGGCTCATTTTTGTCCCCGTCTTATTTATTATCCCGTCAAGTGTAATTATTTCATGGCTCTTAATTATTTTGGGAAATTTTAATTCGCAGAGAACGCTGTTTATCCGTTTTATTAAATTATAGGTGCCGAGATGTTGTCTGGGCTGTAACGTAATTCTCTTCCACGAACGAAATGGGAGAGATTTGGGGTTAGCTGTTGAGCAAATAACAGCGTGCTAAACGGCTCATGATTCACTCCTTTAAAAGTTAAATCATGCTGAATCTTCTAAGCACACCTATTAAAAAATAAATGAGAAAAAACACTTAACTAATTTTTACAGAAAACTAAGAAACGTATACTTGTGTAAAACGAGCCGAACTCGAATGAAGAAATTTTGACTTGGGTTACAAAAAACTGGCAAAGCTAAACTTTAATACGTAAAACATAAAAATATCCTGCAATTGTGAAGTCTTACAAGAACAATTAATAATTATGTGTTTGTCCAGTACTCTCAATT